CCTTTCGCCCGTCAGGGAGGACTTTTCAACTTGACCGTGGCGGCGGGGGTAGCCCGGGCGGCAGCGGGGGGAGCCGCCCGCCGCACCGGCCTCGCAGGCAAATGAGCCCGGGCGTGTGCGGGGGAGCGGAGTGCGGGGGCCGCGGAGGGGGAGCTCTCGCTCCCGGGCTGCAGGAGCCCTACGGTTCCACTTGCAGATACGATGGAGCAGAGGGCGTTTTTCTGTTTTTTGTTTGTTTGTTTGCTTTTTTGTTTTGTTTTGTTTTGTTTTGTTTTCTACCCTTCATCATAGGCTGCCGGCCAGCAAACTAGTTGCCTCTCCTCTTCTAGTTTTAGGCGCTCGCTTAGATTAGAGCAGCAACGAGGGGAGAAAACGGTTTGGGCAAGAAAACTGGATTTACTAGAGAAGATGGTTGGTGGGTTAGAGAAAACCCAGCACCGAGGTCATCCTGTCCCGCGGGCAAAGTCGAGCTGGGCCGATTCGGACAGAAGGAAGTTTGGGGAAGGACAGAGTTGGGTATCTCTCTCCCTGTACCACCAAAAGATGCTCTGGCCGGTCCCGTAACCGGGCGGCAGAACGGCGGCCGCAGTACCACCAGCGGGCGCCGCCAGCGGGGAGAAGCCCCGGCGGGAGGGGACAGGTTCGGCCGCAGAGGCGAGGCCGCCCGCCCCGAGGGCCGCAGCCCGAGCCCCGCCATCCGACGGCCGCCTCTGCCGCCCGGCCGGGCCCGGGGGTGGCGGCGAGGGACGCGGGGCAGGGCCCAGGCCTAGGTCTTCCCGCTGTCAGCCGGCAACCTCTCGGAACTGCTCTCCCGCTCCCTCCCGCTGCCGTGCCCGCGCTCCCGCGGTTTCCACCGCTCGGAGCGGAGCGCAGCCCCCGGGCTCCCGCGTGCAGAGGAGGGCAGGCAGTCGCCACAGTCACCTCTGAAAACTTCATGTATTTTATAGCACAGGAGAACACCCCCTCCTCCTCCCCTCCCTCCCTGCCTGCCCGCCCAGGAGTTCCCCAGGCAGACAGCTCGCAGGTTAGGTAGGGCTCAGCCCGGGGACGGCCCTCCCGCCGCCCGCTCCTCATCTGTCCCGTCCCCTCCGGCAGCCGCTGTGCCGGCTGTGACCGCCGTGCCCTGCGGCGAGATGGCCGCGGAGCTGAGCTGCCCCAGCCCCGCAGCGGGACCGCGTCCCCTCCGCGCCTCCCCGACGGCCTCGGAGGGCCACGTTCCGCCGCTCCCTCGGGGCCTCGCAGCCCCGGAAAACCCTAACCCTAACCCGGCTCCCCCGGGGTTGCCGGCGCTGTGCCGGTGTAGCTGGTGCGGGTGCAGACGGGGCAAAGGGCGACAGGGATAGGCAGTCCTGCCCCGAAACCGCTTCGCTCCGTGTCGCCACAAACGCGCCAAGGTCTTTCTCATCCCTCGTTCCCAACGCGGCCGATGGGCGTTTTCTAAACTTTAAATATTGATTAAAAACAAGGAGGGAAAGAGAGAAGGGGAAGAGTGTTGCCTCTGTTCCTGCAGCGGTCCCGGCGCGGGGCGCTCGATGCACCGGGGAGGCTCGGCCCCTCGCCTGCCACCGGCGACACCAGCCGGGTTTGGGCCACATTTACTGCCCGGTCCCCGGGACAAAACCCAGGCATGCTGTTCCGGGGAGAAAGTGTTCGGCGAGGATGGAATCGTTGAGTTCGGATCAGAGAGGGTGCAGGAGCTAAGAGTGTGTTTGAGAAAGTTGTCTTCCTGTCCGGCGGCACTGCCGAGGCGGGGTTAAGAGGACTGCTGGCAACATCTCGTTGTCGAGGGGAACGGGTCTTTAGGGA